ACAATTACATATTATTCTTACATTACCAAATCCTTATCGACAAATTCCAACTAAAATGGCAATATGTTTAATAAATAATGAAAATGATCATACATCAACAACAATGTCATTTGAATGTATTATTGGTAGTGATCATGGTTCATTTTTTTATCATCAAATTCGAATGAATTCAATAAATAAAAAATTAAAAAAACCAACATTTGATAATAAACGTTATGAAATTTCATGGCCACAAATTAGAAATTCTACAATACCTAGTCTTCTTTCAGCTAGTCTCAATGATAATTATCTTTGTCTAACAACAAATAATAATTTGATATGTATATATAAACGAAAGTAATGTAGATTATTTTTCTTTCTTTTTTTTGTTGTTGTTGTTGTTCTTTATTTTTGTGAAATAAAAAAAGAGAAAAAAAGTAGGTTTATTAAACAAATAAAGATGCATGACTTGAATTTTGTCTATCTTTAAAACGTTGTACAGCATGATGACCTTGTACAAATGTTTCAAACATACCAGCTAATTTCGATGCATATTTACGATCACTTTCAAGCATTATTTTACGATTACGTAATGCTCGAAATAAAATAAATGCCATTAAAAAATGATAAACAAGAAAAATAATTGTAAAGAAACTAAGTACATAATAATCAATCATTTTTGATATGCCCATATCTCGAATAAGAAAACCAATTATTGAATGCCATATAGAATTAAGTGAAATAAAAACTAATGAAATTAATGTATATTTATCTAATAAAGTTAAATAAGAAACAGGTGGAAGAAGACGAGATACCGACCAACGAAACATAATAGAAGTCAGTAAAAGTGTTCCTAAATAAAAGAAAAATAGTTTAATATTGACAAAAAAAAATAAATAAATAAATGCACCAGTAATTTGAAGACGACTATGAGGATATTCAGGTGCAACACCATAGACAGTAAGAGCAATAAGTGTAATAAGAAAAATAAGTAAATAAACATTCCAATAGAAATAACCAGGTCGACGAGCAACACAACAAGTTACTAAAATCAATAGTAATCTATACGAAAACTAATATTTATCATATAGAATTTTACCAAGATAAGTTGATTGACGTATAGGTCGAAAACTAAAATCTTCTGTTGTTATTGTTGAACGTGTTTCAATATGTTCATAAAGAAACCATTCTTGTTGTGCTATAAAAATTTAATTATTATTTATCGATTAATTCTATTTTATTTTAAAATTTACCTAAAAATGCTTCACGATTAACCATTGATGGTTGAAAACGATTTTCAACTAAAATACATTCTTCAATTGGACATCTTGTTACAATTTGTAATGAAAGTTGTTGAACATCAGCTGGAAAACTATTTAATTCAAGTTTTTCCCAAAATGTACCAACAACTTTACGTATTTCCCAAACATAAATTATATCATATTCTTTATTATTATTATCATGTATAGGTTCATCTAAATTATTAACTAATTCACTAGCTATTTCTTGTTTAACATCACCAAGTGCATTTTTAACATAAAGATTTGGATTCCATGAAGCTGCTTCTGGATCATATAACCATCGTGCTTCAATAACAACTTCAGCATAAAATTTTTCATGTAATGTATTTACCTGTTTGTATTTATAATAAATGGATAAAGATTATAAAAACAAAAAACAAAAATCTTACTTCACCAAGACGAATAAATTTAACACGAAGTGAAACTTCACGTGGTGGTTTTACTTTTGGTGAAGTATTTAATTTTTTTGAATAATTATCCATAATAACTTGTTGAGTTGGAAAATCTTGATGATCGATGACTAAAGAACAACTCTAGGATATATAAACCCAAACGAAAAAACAATAGAAAAACCTACTTGTACTTGCTGGTATTGTTGCAGATCTTGTACTAGAAGATAAATTAGATGTTATATGATTATGCGCAGATGTTCGATTAATATTTCCACTTGTTGCTGATCGTCTAGATTTTACTAATGGCATAGTTGTAAGTGGATGTGCACTTCGTTTTATTGATTCGAAATAGGAATCGGATCGTTTTGTATTCGACATTATCGAAATAATAAGTTAGAAATTTGATTTTGTAATAAATAATAAATTCTATATCGACTATCCATAAAAAAAAATCCAATGACGAAAGAAATAAAAAAAAGAAGAAGATGTATTCAGATAATAATAATGACAATAAATGTCCTTGATTAGAAATAATATAATCACTTATCTCATATTTTCCAATCTCGTAAATGCATTGATTTGATAAGATTCATTGTTTCCTATCAATTGCTTAGCATACATTTATGTCTCATATTTTTTTTTGTTTATGTTGTATTACACAAAAAAAAAGCACCAGATGACAATGAAAAATAAAAAAAGAAATCTAGTAAGACAGATGACGCACAATAAGGCAAAAAAATGTATAATAATGGAAAGAGGAAAAAAAGAAGAAGAATGTAGAATCAATTGATTTACTTAATCATTTTTTTTAACGCTTTTATTATTTAGAACATGAGTGACAACTGAAAATGTATCGATCTCGTTGTCATTCAGCGACCTCTTATAAATAACTCCCATCGGTATTACCAAAAGCGAATGAAGCGCTATGGATGCAAACAGAACAATTGAATTTTACTTGAAGTTTATTTTGAAAAAATAAAATAAAATAAAATAGATGGCTTTCATTAGAAATTCTCTCATTAAAGTAAATTATAAAATTCCAAAACAAAAAAAAAATGAATTTTATTTTTATGATAGCTTGCACCGTTGTCGACAAAATCGATTTTAACAGTACAAAAACGTTTTTATTTATTACTTCATGAATATGTTTCTATGGGATTACTTGAAGAAGCTGGAATTCGTGTACCAAAATATCGTATTGCTAAAACAGCCGATGAAAGCTATCAAATAGCTTCAAGTCAAGGTTTAAATTTTCATATATTATTCTTTTATAATATTAATTTAAATTTCTCTTAGAACTTGGTCATGATCTTGTTATCAAAGCTCAAATTCTTGCTGGTGGTCGAGGTAGAGGAACATTTGATAGTGGACTTAAAGGTGGTGTGAAAATGGTTTTTTCGTAAGATTTAATATTTATTTTTTATTATTAAGAAGGAACATATTTTTGTTTTTCATAGACCTGATGAAGCAAAACAAGTTGCATCGAAAATGCTTGGTCATCGTTTATATACAAAACAAACAGGTCGTGAAGGAAAACCTGTTAATAGTATAATTATATGTGAAAAATTATTTACACGACGAGAATATTATTTTGCATGTCAGTATTTTTCATTTCTTGTTTTGTTTTTTTTTTGAAATTCTAAGATTCAAGGTCTGAGTTTTCTTTTTCAGTGGCATTAGAACGACGATATGATGGTCCTGTAATTATAACATCAACTCAAGGTGGTTCACATATTGAAGAGATTGCTGCTGATTATCCTGAAGCAATTATTCGTCATCCTATTGATATTGCTACTGGTCTTGAACATAAAGATGCATTGAACATAGCAGAACAACTTGGATTTCGTAATGAAGCTCTTCTAGAAGTTCATCAATCTTTTACAACTATTTTTTTTCAAACTACAGTAGTTATATTTTTGTTTCTAGGCAGCTGATATAATGATGAAATTGTATAATTTATTTATTACAAAAGATATTGTTCTCTTAGAAATCAATCCATTAACTGAAGGAGCTGATGGAAAAATCTATTGTTTGTTTTTTTTTTGTTTCTTAAATAAGAATATAATTTATTTTTTTTTTATCTATAGGTATGGATTGTAAGATTAATGTTGATGATAATTCTGAATATCGACAAGATGCTGTATTTAAACAAAAAGATAATGCACAAAAAGATTGGCGTGATGTTAAAGCTGAAGAAGCTAATTTAAATTATATTGGTCTTGATGGTGAAATTGGATGTCTTGTTAATGGTGCTGGTTTAGCTATGGCTACAATGGATATAATTAAATTACATGGTGGTAATCCAGCTAATTTTCTTGATGTTGGTGGTGGTGCTTCAGCTGCACAAGTTAAAAATGCATTTGAATTAATTACTGTTGATCCACGAGTATGTTCAAAAAAAGAAAAAAAATTTTTGCTTGATTTATTTCGTTTTACTCGATTAGGTACAAGCTGTGTTTGTCAATATATTTGGAGGTATTATGCGATGTGATGTTATTGCTCAGGGTATTGTTGCAGCTGCTAAAGAACTTAAATTGACTATTCCAATTGTTGTACGATTACAAGGTAAATTATTTGTAAATTTCAATTTTTTTAAATAGAATTTTAATTGAATGATATAGGTACAAGAGTTGATGATGCTAAAGCAATTATTGCTTCAAGTCAATTGAAAATACTTCCTTGTGATGATCTTGATGATGGTGCTCGATTAGTAAGAATATTATTGTTTTAATTAAAAAATTATTTTTTGTATTTATTTCTAGGTAGTAAAATTAGCTGAGATTGTTAGTTTAGCTCGATCTGCTTCGATAGCTGTTCAATTTGAATTACCAATTTAATTTTTCTCTGTATCTTGACTATGTTTTTTTTTTTCCGTTACGTCTTTCCGATATGCTGGACTTTGTTCGAGTAGTATAGCGAATTTGTGTGTGGGTAATTTCGTTTTTTTTCCTTCCTTTCCTTCGCCAAAAATGTTTATGCTTGAGTAAACATACTCTTTTTTTTTCATAATACGGAGAAAAACAAACATATGTATGTGTTTCTTTTTTTAAACATTTTTTTTTTTCTATGAAATAAAACACTATCGAAGAACAAGCAAATGTATTTGACATGAAATTTTCATCTGGTTTATAATCATAGCTAAAATAGAATATTTTATTCATATAAATAAATGCATCATTTGATATTAAAAGAGAATTTTTTGTTTCGTGAAATTGTTGGTTAAATAAGTTTTTTGATCGATTATGCAAATTAATAATCATCGTTATTACGATTTCATAGAGAAAGTTCATAATTTGTAGTGTAAGTTTCATGATAACGAAATTCATAATCAAAATAAATCATCATTGTGGTCATAATATTCACCACTGTCATATCCACTCAATACTGGATAATATTCGGCAGGTTTACGTGTTATTTGTTCATAGTCTAGAAGAGATGGTATGATATTTGATTAAAAATACTTTAGATTTTCATCAAAGATTAAAACGAATATCAAAATCATCATTCGTATAGCATTCGACTCAATCGTTAAAAATTAAAATATTTTTTTTTTCTTTATTATTAAACTTTTCATAGCAATAGATTATTATGAAGTTCGACATAAACGTGTTAAACTCATCAAAGAATATATAAATTACAGTATATGCCTGAGTTTTTTATTTACACATTGACAATAAGTAGTTTTGTTTATAACAATTAGACGAACTTCATTATAACTATTAGCCTTGCCTTTTGTACCTTTGTAAGTTATTTAAGTCAATAATCATTATTAAGTCTATTTAATCAATCTCTATTACATATTTACATCTGAAATGACGAATTTTTTATATTTTAGTTCGGTCATGCAGAAAACAAATCGAATGAACATATCTCAATTTGATTCAATTCAGTCTTTATGTCTGATTTCTATCAATAAACATTGCATATAAAAATCGAAAATTAGAGTAAAGAAAATGGTCTATACGTACATTCACGCTCTTTGAAAATTGTATATTCCATTAGATCAGTTGCATAACAATATTTGCGACGATTTCCTAAAGGAAAGTTTTTAAAAAAACTGTCTTCATGACATTGTATCATTTTGAATAATGGATGAAGTTGTTGTATAATAAGAATATCGACTTGTTCATTTGTTTCGTCACAATATAATTCACAATCGAATTTTTTTAAATTAGATGTATAAATATGAAAAATTTCACTTAATTTTTTAAAATGGTATAATATCGATCGTTCACGAATCATTCCTGTGACACGCAATTCTTCTAAATTAGGCATATAGGGAAGTATCTTTTCGAGATCATTGAATGGATTTACAAGAATTATTCGCAGATATTTAAGTGACATATGACACTTATTGAAATTCAAAGATTGATTGATGGATAGTGAAAAACTCGCTTCAAACCGACGTAAATTAGGTAGAAGATTGAGTAATGGATCCAATATTGATACATTGGCAATATGAAGAGTAAGCGTATGAATTGTATTATTTGATGATTGGTTGTGCTTTTGAAATTCTAGTGTATGGTGAATTCTGTCTGAGAATTGAAGAACTTTAAGTGATGGAAAATGGTTGCTGTCAAGAATAGACAGCAATATTGTATCCCCACGGCAATCTATATGACCAAACAAGGAAAATTGCTCGAGATGTGGTAAGTGAACAGTGAATATCTATAATTATAACATATATTTCATATTTTTCTGTCAATTTCTCAATATTACGCGAAATAACATACACTAGTTCAACTTACTTGAGAATATTGTCTTTGCAACAGACGAGTATAATCGAGTTTCAATGAACGTAGTTTTGTATACAAATGTAAATTTAATGCGTCCCAAGGATAACAAAATTTGAGACGAATAAATTGAATTGGAAGAAAACTCTTCAGATAATCGAAATTTTGTTCTTCTTTTTTGGGACGTTCAATAACTATTCTTAGTTTTACCTTGTGTATAATATCATTGATTCGTGGATTATGTCCTATGAAACTTATCAAATCGATTGGTTTTAAATATTTGAAGATTTCAAGAAAAATTTCATTGGGAAGTATTTCAAATCGATTTGGAGTTGAAGATAGAATATTATCCATGATAATGAAAAAATTATTTTTAGAGTATAAAAATCAAACAAATTTATTCTTGTTGTCGGATGATTTATACTTAACTTGGAAAAAAAAACCCAATGATATTACTCATTGAGAAAGAATATTCCAAGTTTCATATTGAAATGTGACGAAATACTCTCCATGCATCGATTATATTTCGTCATTGTCAATCAAAAAATTCGTATATAATTTATTTAATTAATTCAAAATTCAATAATTTATCAAGTTCATTACTTGCAATGTTTTTTTTAAAGATTTTATCGATAATAGAGATCCCATGTATTTTTTTCATTGGTAGAATTTCACAAATGAAAAATAATTTTAAGTTATTTATTTATCTTCTACCTTCTGTTCGACATTGCATCATCTATTGATGAGCTGCATATGAAGAAGATTTGGAATCAGAAATAAAGAAAGTTGAGTCTACCATTTCTATTCTTGAGCAGTCTTAAATTTTTTACACACAGATGAAATCTTTTTTTTTGAATGATCAACTCTAGAAGATTGATAGAAAATTGCAGAAGAATTCATTTTTAAATAAACATGAATTAGCAGACACAACAAAAATTTATTCAATAAAATAATAACCGATTATATACGAACTACAGTTTTGCTATATAACTGCTTAAGAAAAAGTTACATGTAGATGAAACATAATAATGTATTCACAAATCATCGATATCAACTATAAACGATGGTAGAAAATGTTTTCTAGTCAAAATTCAAATTTACTAGTAGAAAGAATTCAAGTTCATCGAGAAGAAAATAGTTTCAGAATATATTTTACTAATAAAAATTCTTGGAGTGCTATCTATAATTACAATTTATCTCATAACTAGATCCAATTTGGATTCTGTGGGTAGTACAAGCAGTTGAGACGTAACAAAATTATAAGAGTGCATCGAAATCGACTCAATTCTATCAGTTTTAACAGACTTAAAAATTATCATGCGCTTTGATACAATACACCATGTTACATCACTTTCAAAAACAAAGCTGTGCTCATGTTAGAAGTTATGAAATATCCTATAACTACAAGATCTGATAGAAAAATCTATTGATTATTGTTCTCCATTATTAAGAAAATAATCTTTTCTATAGGTATGAATTGTAAGATTAATGTTGATGGTAATTCAGGATTTCGACAACATGCTGTATTTAATAAAAAAAAAAAAGGTTATGCACGAAAAGATTGACGTGATGTTAAACATGAAGAATCTAATTTAAATTAGTAGTTATGCCTACGATGGTTATAATTAAATTACATGATGTAGTGATCCAGCTAATTTTCTTAATGTTAGTGGCGGAACTGCAGTTGCAGCTGCACAAGTAAAAAATGTATTTGAATTAATTGTTGTTGATCCATGAGTATGTTCAAAAAATTGATTTTCGAATTTATCGATCGATTTATTTTGTTTTACTTGATTAGGTACAAACTATGTTTTTCAATAAATTTGAAGGTATTGTGTGCAGTACACAAGTTGATGATGCTAAAGCAATTATTGCTTCTGTCATTTGAAAACACTCGATCTGCTTCGATAGTTGTTCAATTTGAATTATCAATTTAATTTTCTCTATCTCGACTATTTTTCTTACGATACATCTTTTCGAAATATATAACATTACGAACTTTATGCTGAAATTTGCTCAGATAGTATAGCGAATTTGTGTATTGATTTAATTTTTTTTTTCCTTTCCTTCGTCAAATGTTTATGTATGCAGAAACATACCCAATCTTTTTTTTGACAACATTGTGAATAAAAACATATTTTTATGTCTTTTTTCTTTGGATACTTTTCCTTTCAAATAAAACAAGATGGATAAAGAAACAAATATATCTAATTTTCAGACTTCATCTTGCTTATAATCATAATTAAAACAAGATATTTTATTCATATAAAATTCAATGACAACAATTTCATTGTGTCAAAATTATCTATGTATAACATTTAAAATTTAAAAAACCTAGTTTCATTTTTCTAAACTTGTTAATTAAACGAGCTTTTTTTCTGCCAATTATCTAAATTAATAGTCCTCGCTATAAATATTCTATAGAAAAGATAAATCAGTTTTTTTTTGTATTGTTTAAAAATAGCCATGTTCATAATTGAGTTATTCATCATCGTCATAATATCCACCGCTGTCATCTCTACACGTATCATCCCAATACTCAAAAGAGTCGAATATTGTTCGCTTCCTATCTAAAAGACATGATATCATATATCGTATTTACCACTATTATATAATGATTACATATAAAAATTGAAAAATTACGTGAAATAAATTCTATATACTCACATGCATATTCCTTCAGATGTGAATATTTCGTTAGATTAGTCGCAAAACATTGATAGGGATAATCTCCTAAATGACGTTGTATTGGTTTGAAAAGTGGATGAAGTTGTTGTATAATAAGAATATCGATATGATCATTCATTCCATTACAAAATAATTCACAATCGAATTTTTGTAAATCAGGTGTATGAATATGAAGTATATTAGTCAATTTTGTAAAATGTTCTAATATCGACTGTTCACGAATCATTCCTGTGATATGCAATTGTTTTAAATTAGGCATATAGGGAAGTATCTTTTCGAGAGAATTAGATGGATTTAAAACACTTATTCGTAGGTGTGTAAGTGACATTTGATACATATTGAAATTCATTGATTCGTTAACAGATTCTGAAAAAATCATTTTCAATCGACGTAAATTAGGTAGAAGATTGAGTAAAGGGACTAGCATTGATCCACTCCATCTATGAAGAATAAGTGTACGAATTGTTGAATTTGGCGTTTTATTGTGCATGTGAATATCTAGCATATAGTAACGTTTTCCAGAAAAATGAAGAACTTTAAGCGATGGAAAATTATTGCTGTCAAGAATATGAGGTAATAATACATTTCCGAAAGCATATGGAACACTACATATGGAAAATTGTTCAAGATATGGCAAGCGAACAGTGAGTACCTATAACAATAATAATATACATTCGTACTTTTGTGTCAGTTTCTCGATAGTACGACAAACAAAACACACTAGTTCAACTTACCTGATCAAATTGATTTCTCAACAGAAAAGTACAATTGAGTTTCAGTGAACGTAGTTTTGTATACAAATGTAAATTTAATGCGTTCCAATGGTGATGTAATTCCAGATGAATGAATTGATTTGGAAGAAAATTCTTCAGATAATCCAAATCTTCTTCTTCGTGTTCTTCTTTTTTGAGACGTTCAATGACGATGCTTAGTTTTACATCGTGTATAATATTATTGATTCGTTGATTATGTCCTATGAAACTTATCAAATCGATTGGTTTTAAATATTCGAAGATTTCAAGAAAAATTTCATCGGGAAGTATTTCAAGTCGATTTGGAATGGAAGATAGAATATTGTTCATGATAATAAGAAAACTATCTTTAATATATAAAATTTAATCAATTTATCACTGTAGTCGAACGGTGTTTTTATACACCTTGCACAACAAAAACACACTAGTATTAATCATCAAAACAAAAAAAAGAGATATTTCATAGTTACATATATTACAAGGCTTATCATTTTATCAATTACATTTCATCATTGACAATCATAAGATTTATAGTAGCACTTAACGCACATCTTATTTAATTAATTAAATGAAAATTGAGAAATGTATCACAATCGCTACTCTCAATTTTTTTAAAGATTTATTCGATAGTAGAGATACTGCGTATTTTTTTATTTGTAGAATTGCACAAATGAAAATTAATATTATGTTATCTGCTTATCTTTCACCTTGTATATGACATGCGTATCATTCATCAAATCATCACATATGAAGAAATGTCAAAATCGAAAGGAAAGAAAATTGAGTTTCACATTCAAAAAAGCATGATGATTAATATTTGAAATGAATATATTTCTATTCTTGAGTAGTCTTACATGTTTCACACACACACCCACGCGAAATCTTTCTTAGATTAGTGAATTCGAAAGCTTGTGTAAAAACTGGCAGGAAAAAATTATTTAGAAATAAACATGAATCAGTAGAAAAAAAGAACTTCTTCAATAAAATATTAACCAATAAAATGTGAACTACTCTATCAACACATGATGAATAGATTATAGTTGAATTTAACGTTGGCATCCATTTTGTTAGAAATACTGCATTATGAAATTTCAATAGTATCCGAAAATAATCGTGATTTTAGACAATTCAACATTTTATGCTGTTCTTATTTATATAACCATACATATATTTCAATATATTTGAAATTTAGATCGTATTCTCAACATAATGCACATTTTAGTTCATCAGAATTTGAATTTGAATTTTTCTCGAAAATTCTTCAAGTCAAATGAACTCAAGAAAACATTTTTTCCATGAATACTAATGAAATATAAATTATTTGTTGATGAATCCTGTACTGATGATGAATATCTCGTTCGTTTTGATTTTTTTGTGCGTTTATCTTGACTCGAACTTTGGTTTTCGGAAAATCGATGAAATTCAAGATCTGTTCTTTTAGTTAGTTCATCTTTTTCACGTTCCATATTTTCCAATTTTGTTTTGCAACACTTTCTTCTCTCTTCTTTCATTTTAACACGAAGAGTGTGCAATACCTTTTTTGATGTTTTTTATTCCAACGGATACTATTCGTCGTCAATATGTGAAGCAGAATAGCAAGAAAACTTATGACACATAATCTTCCGTAGGAAATTATTTAAATATTTTGCGAATTGAATACCATAAAACTGGTGGAATATTGACACTCAATAAAAATCTTTATCTGATTCCCAAACGAAATGTCATATTTGCTGCATCATCTATTTTGTAATGAAACTGTATCTATTTTGCTTCACTCTTCTTTACTTTACTATGCTTTATAATAGCAAAATAGAAATAAAGTGTCATCCTTACTCATGCTCTTCATCTCTTTGACTACATGATACTTAGGGCTATCTAAAAGTAATGGCAAAGATACTTTACTTCCGTATAGAA